TAAAAATAGGGCGATTTGTAACGGATTAGGAGAAAGAAGTATTACGAACAACTTATCTTTCGTAGTCCAGTCCCCAGGAGATGAACTAAGGAATTACGAAGCAAAAACAACATGTCAAAAGCTTCGTGGAAATCGCATATCAACGGCGGAACATTTTTCTTCAATTATGTTTACTGTAAAACAACAAGGAATCGTCTGAAATGAAATATAAGCAAGAAAATTTATGACTGTTTATCAAAACGGAAACCAGTTTCCTCCGCAGGATTATCGGCATATTTTTTAATACTGGGAAAAAGAAAAATTTATGCACAGAAAGGGAAGGATTATAAGATCAAATCACCGCTTGGAAAGAAACTAGGTGCGAGATTTGCCATTGCAGACCAAGAGAGCAATGAAAAACTGGTCTCAAGCAGCTTATGCGCTCTACGGCCACATTCGTGAAATCGACTTGTTGTGTGATTACACAGGTGAGAATGTGATGTGAATATAAAGCCGATTTTGAGATGGAGATACGTATGCGTCACATTGGCACCTCTGTTGGCGCCACGTTAGATTTCAGCTGGTTACTTTCGAGAGAAATTTTTTGGGACAAATTACGCTCAAAACTTGGAGCAATCAAGAGAGCTGGAAAGTTAAAAAAAAAACGAAACTGAAAAATACAAATGAAATGTTCTAAATTGTGATGAGACGCAATGGCAAGGTCGAATATTTGTGGGGCATGCAGGTCTCTTAGGCATCGCATTACATCCGTTTCAAAATCCTCTCAAATATTCTCTTGTTTTCGAAAGTAAAAGAAACACTAAATTCATATTGGAAGATACTCTCAACTCGATGGTGACAAATTGGTGAACACAAGGTGATACTCATCAAGGCGTCTATCATCGTCAATATTTATCACCTTTTTCGTTGTAACTTCTACCAAGTTTATTCGCCGCCCAAAGATGCTCTCTCGGTAAAGATAAGATGTTTACATGGTCTTGGAATTTATGCGTGCTTGATAACTGCTATACGCTCACTGTATAAAAAAGAACTAATTCCCTAGACAAACACACGAAGCAGACAAACAATCGCAACATCGGTCATGAGATATTGGGGGACATGTGAGGTGAGGAATGCTTTGATAAGGTTAGGCATTGGAAGGTCGCATATTTCGTCATATGTGGTGCAAGTGCACAGCACGTGCAAAATCGGAAAAAAAGCAGAGA